GATCCCCGGCTGCTCCCCGGCCACCGGAGGAGGGTTCCACATGGCGCGCAGACCTCTCCTGCTGCCCGCTGCTTCCCTCAGCAGTGTACTTCGGTTCTTCCGCCTGCTCTGCCCCTGCTCTGGCTCTGGTGAATTCTCTCACCCTCCCGCGCTTCTGACTGTACCCAGTGCTTGTATAAATAAATAAATAAATCTTCAAAAAAAGAAAAAAGAAAAAATCTTTAAAAAAAAAAAAACTAGTTGAATTTGGAATGGCATTTTAAGTGAGAGAGAGTAATTGAAGAGGAATAAAGAGGAAATAGGATTCAAAAGGAAAAATGGTGGGATTTGATACCTGACTAAATATAAAAAGTGTAGTTTGATTCATATTGCTAATTTTGAAGACTTCTTTCCCCAGACATCTAATCAAATATAAATAGGAAAGTTTTGTTTTGTTCTGTTTTTAAGATTTATTTATTTATTTATACAAGAACCAGGGTACAGGCCAGATGCACGGGAGGATAAGAGAATTCACCAGAGACAGAGTGGGGAACAGAACAGGCAGACTGAAGAAATACACTGCTGAGGGGAGCAGCGGGCGAGACAGGAGAGGTCTGCCGCGCCATGTGGGCCCCTTGCCAGCCGGCCGGGATCCAACCAGCGCTACAGAGGCTGCGGACAGCTTCATAGTGCGGCTCTCAACTGCCTGCACCACCAAGGGAGGCCCAAAATAGGAAGGTTTTAAAGAACCAATTTTGTCCTTTAGAGAAGCTCTTCTTTCTCTACTCTCTTCCCACCTACAAAGGTAATTTGGGAGAAACTTTATTGCCTTAGGCAACTGGTTAATACCTTTCTTTAATCTTTCTCTAAGCAACCTACAGTTACCACACATTCTGAAATAACTATTATACATGTTGAAAGATTTTCAGCCTTCCTAGTAATTAAAGAAATGCAAATTAAAATAACAAAGGTTGTTTTTATGGTAATATTCAATGCTGTGAGAGTTAATGAGACATTCTTTTCTATTAGAGTAAATTAGTATGATCTTAAAAAATTTGGTATAATCTTTTGAGAAAGAAATTTGACACTATGTAGCAAAACCCTTTAAGATGTTTGAGTACCATTTCTAAAAATTTATAGTAAGGAAATAATCAGAAATGCCAAGAAACTTTTTGGACCAGAATGTTAGTTACAGGGTTCCCGATTTTTCACAATTAAGATGATATGTAGTTGTCTAGTAGTAAGAGTGAATGGCTATAAATACATATAATAGAGTAGCCCTTAAATTAATGTTTTAAGGAGTTTAATTTTAATGACAGCGTAAATGCTTATGATATTAATTGAATTCCAGTTTTAAATACTTAAGTAATATCCTATTAGAACTTGCCATTTTTATCCGTTTTATAAACATTATTAGGGCAAAGGCTATCTTGCTATTCTTTTCAGAAGTTACTTGCCAACCACTGCAAATAATAATAATTTTAGTCCCCTTGAGCTAAAAATGTCCACATTATCATACACAGAGTCCTCAGTAAAGCCTTTGTTGTTAAGCATCTCTTAAGAACTTTCTTCCTTGCAGTGTGTATATATTCAAATATACAACCAAGTGTACAACTTTAGGGCACACAAAGCCTGTATGTGGATCTCTTCTAGGGCCATGATAAAGAATCCGTGCTTTAACTGAGGAAATTTATTACCCTTCAGTGTGGTTGAAACAGGGTAATTCTCATTTTCACCGGTATCCTTGGTATTGAGGTAAAACAAATGCAGTCTTCATTGAATGCTGCTTTTAAGTAATTTCATGCACAGTTTCATCTCTATTCTTGACTAATACTGAGATTTATTGGGGCAGAAAGACAGCTGGAAATCCACTGTGATAGTTTGGAATTTGCAGTCAATCCCATCCTTCATTTCTCTAATTTCCTAGGTCTTCACATAATAACTGTTAAAGACATTCTGCTGTCACCACTTCTCCAAATCTATCAACAACTTAGTAGCCATGAGGGCCCTAGATTCTACAAATGTTAGAAGAGGAGAATAACCTAAGGTAGTTATGGATTGGAGAACTGGATTTCCAGATTGTGTTTAGTTACAAGGCCACATTTCAAGGGACTGTTGAAAAATAATAAATAATGAAGGCAGTATTGGACAAGTCTAGAAGACAGCAACAAGATGGCAAAGAATTAGCTATCATATCATGTGAAGAACCTTTGCCAGAGCTAGGGGGAAGAGAGGACTAAAGTGTGATAGGAGAACTGTCACTAGCTAGCCACCTTCTTTACCACTTTAGCGACAGTATGGTGTATAGTAATGAAGAGTTCAGAGTTAAACCTGCATTCATATCCCAGCTTACCCTGAGAAAAGAAACTTAGCCTTCTAGGAATTAAAAGAAGTATGAAATATCTTAGTTTAATGTAATGAGACTTTTATTGACTTGATTAATTATACCACTTACAAATGAGAGAACTTACTAAAGATCACTGATGTGAGTGATATTATTTGAATTATATGTGAATCATACAGGCTTTCAGACAGGGTTCTATGATGTTCTATGAAGGGAAGCTAAGCTGGGATTGGCTTTAGCTCAGTGGTTTCTTTGGGAAATGCATCCTCTTTCAACCATCCTCCTTAAGAGGAACTAAGCAGCTGTTAGGTATTAATTAGCTCCTTGAGAAAATTTAATTAGATTTTAAAATATAATAAAAAAATCAGTTTTAAAAATAGTGGATGACAGGGGCCTCCCCGGTGGCGCAGCGGTTGAACGCTGGGTTGCGAAGCTGCCCGAGGCCTCTGCGGTGCCAGTTCGATCCCCGGCTGCTCCCCGGCCATCAGAGGCGGGTCCCACATGGCGCACAGACCTCTCCTGCTGCCCGCTGCTCCCCTACAGCAGTGTACTTCGGTCCTTCTGCCTGCTCTGCTCCCTGCTCTGGCTCTGGTGAATTCTCTCACCCTCCCGCGCTTCTGACAATACCCAGTGCTTGTATAAACAAAACAAACAAACAAATAAATAAATTAAACATGCCTCTGTTAAAAATTAAAACATTAAAAAAAAAACTTTAAAAAAAATAGTGGATGACAATGCTCTTTATGTTCCACCTGAAACGATTTGTAATAAATCTTAATAGTCAGTTTGTTTCTTTATAATTTATATTCTATCTCCTGGAAATAATTTGAAGCAACAGCTTAGAACATTATTCTTGGTAAGTGAGAAAGGTATAGAGTCAAGAGGCACTCCCACTTGAGTTTAGAGAGCCAAATTATCTATATATTGACTACTGTAAATCAAAGGGAAGTTAGAGAAAAAAACCCTTATATATATAGGGATGCAGAGTGATATAGTGAAAAAGACTAGTACTTTTTGTATTAAGAGGCAGAAGACAGGTTTCTGTCCTTTTGCTGCTGATCTGCTTTGTAACTTTTCACAATTCTTTTAACCTTAAAAACTGTTACCTTATGGATGTCATAAGAGTTAAATTACCGAATTTCTATATGAAAAAACTTTGTAAACTGTAAAATATTATCCAAATTGTAATATTATCTGTCACATGAAAATAGCATTCTGAACCAGCCAAGAATTATTTTATGTTTAAGAAAGAGATCTTGAGCTTGACGTACTTACTCTTGAGCCAAAGATTTGAGGGTCAGGGGATATAGAGATGATTGATATTTCTCTGTAATCTTGTTTATACACAGTCCCCTTGGAATCCATTTACTCTCACAAAAATTTAATATATCAGAGTTTTTTTGTTTTGTGGGACCCTTGCCGGCAGCCAGGGAACAAACCGGCGCTGCAGAGGCTGCGGGCAGCCTCGCAGCCCAGCGCTCAACCGCTGTGCCACCAGGGGAGGCCCAATATATCAAAGTCTTTTAAGAGAAAGTTAAAATATTTCCTCTACCCCTTCATTAGTAAGTCCTCCCCAGTCTACATTTGACATCCCAAACAGTAGCTAACTTTAAGAGTATTTTGCTTTCAGTAAGTCATATTCTATGTAAAATTCATGCTTAGAAAAATGCTTAGGAATGATACTTTTTGAGCCAATTAAAAAAAATTTGGGGCCTCCCTGGTGGCGCAGGCGGTTGAGTGCAGCGCTGTGAAGCTGCCTGCAGACTCTGCAGTGCCGGTTTGATCCCTGCCCGCTGCAGAGATACCCACATGGTGTGACAGACCTCTCCTGTCTTGCCCTCTGCTCCCCTCAGCAGTGTATTTTGTCAGTTTGCCTGTTCTGCTCCCCACTGTGTCTCTGGTAAGTCCTCTTACCCTCCCACACATCTGGTCTGTACCCTGGTTCTTGTATAAATAAATAAATCTTTAAAAAAAAATTTTAACACAGAAAAATTGGAACAACTGAGAAATGAACACCCTTTTAATACCCTCGCCTAGATACACCGTCAGTCTCTTTCTATGCCTTTTCCAATTTTATTACTGTTCACACACTTAAATCTTTTGCCATGTCATCCAAAAGTACATACAGGTCATCAGAAGGATGCTATAATCATGATCATTTTGTCTGCTGCTCAAATAGAGCAAAACAATTACTGAGAAGTTTGTTACATAGTTGGCACCAGCTGGTAAAGCTTATTTTCTGAAGCCCCAGTACATTTTATTTGAGCCAGAATACTCAGATTAAGATTATTTTAGTAATTACTGCATAAATGATACCTAACTTCTAAGATCTGTATTGTCAGAGAAGGAATATTAGACTACTTATTGATGAGTCTAAATCCCTACAAGTTAGTGGCAGTGCTATTCTTGAGTAAAAGTAGCTAGAATACTACATACTTTTAATGCCTTTGTTTTTATACAACAGGCTGAAGTAGTAAAGTTTTATATTTTCAAGCTGTTGGAAAAAGGAAAAACTCATTTTAAATGGAACATCTGTTAGAATTTAAATCTGTCATTGCTTAGAAGGTTTATTATTGTTATAAATTGATGCTATCTGATGGAAAATATGTCTGTTGTAATCGCTTCACCTAGATATAACTACAACCATAAAAGCTGTTCCTTTCCTTTCTTTCCCCAGGAGATTTTGATGAATTCACTCAAGATAATAATGACATTATGTTGAAAAATATAGCAGAAGATCTTCGGAATTGCTTACCTCTGGAAACCATGCTTTCCTCAGAACATCTAGCCCTCCAAAAAGTAAGTACATTAAATTAATTTACTATTAGTGCTTATCTTTGGGGATTCTCCTATTCTTTCATAACCCCTTAGCAGCTCTAGTATAATTAGTCCTAACTTCTGCTTCCAAACCATTTTTCATTTGGTGTTCCAACCATGTCCCCAATTCTTTTGAGACTTTAATTTTCTGGCTCCCTTGTACCATTCATTCAACAAATATTCTTTGAGGGCATCTTATTTTCCAAGTACTCAAAAAGCAACACCACTTAAGACCTGCCCACATCATTGTCCTGGTGTTCTCTTTCCTGTTTCATTTCCTGCACTTTCATCATCTTTTTATTTCCTCCTATTTTTGAATCACATATTTTATTGAATTGCTTATTTTATTCCTTTATTTCTAAAATTAGTTCTCATGTTTCTTCTCCAGACAACCCCCTCATTCAGGTCCCTTTAAATTGCAACTCTTATGGGATACATATGCTATGAGTGTTGCTTATGAAGACAAAGTTAATAATCTTCATTAATCTGAAAACAGCAACCCTCAATGTGGGTTTTTTTTTTTTTAATTATTTTTAAATTTTTTTTTTTTATAGAGGCATGTTTTTATTTATTTATTTGTTTGTTTGTTTGTTTGTTTGATTTATACATGCACTGGGTACAGTCAGAAGCGCGGGAGAGTGAGAGAATTCACCAGAGCCAGAGCGGGGAGCAGAGCAGGCAGAAGGACCGAAGTACACTGCAGAGGGGAGCAGCGGGTGGCAGGAGAGGTCTGCGCACCATGTGGGACCCTCCTCCGGTGGGACCCTCCTCTGGTGGCCGGGGAGCAGCCAGGGATCGAACTGGTGCCGCAGAGGCCGCGGGCAGCTTCGCAACCCAGCGATCAACGGCTGCGCCACCGGGGAGGCCCTCAATGTGGGTTTTTTTTTTTTTAAGCCTGTAAACTCCTGCAAAGAGAGCTAAATACTGTACATTTTTAATAATGCTATGCATATTGTGAATAGTTAGCAAATCTTAGTAATAAACATTTAGTCATTTAGAGTGGATTCTCAAAGGAAAATAATGCATGGAGTAAAAAATGAAAGAAATAGTTGTAATTCAGCTTGGAAGTTACTAATAAATCAGTCTTCTCTACCATGAAAGACCACCAATATGAAATGAGGAAAAAGTATTCATTGCATGTTAATACTCAGCCCATAATTCCCTATCCTAATAAGCTATTTTTATCTTCCTCAATTTCTTTCTGGTCTTTGTCTACATCCATACCTGATTTTTACAAGCTTATAACAATTTTTTAAATTTTTTATTTTTTTAAAGATTTATTTATTTATACAAGAGCTGGGGTACAGGCCAGAGGCTTGGGAGGGTGAGAAGATTCATCAGAGACAGAGCTGGAAGCAGAACAGGCAGACGGACCAAAAGCACTGCTGAGGGGAGCAGCGGGCTAGACAGGAGAGGTCTGCTGCGCCATGTAGGTATCTCCCTGGCCAGCCGAGAATCGAACCAGTGCTGCAGAGGCTGCGGACAGCTTCGCACCGCTGAGCTCAACCCCCTGCACTACCGGGGAGACCTAATATAAATTTTTTTAAATGTGGATGTAAATGTGGGCCTTCCCGGTGGTGCAGCGGTTGAGCTCTGGGTTGTGAAGTTGCCCACAGCCTCTGCAGCGCTGGTTCGATCCCCGGCTGCTCCCCGGCCACCGGAGGAGGGTCCCACATGGCGCGCAGACCTCTCCTGCCGCCCGCTGCTCCCGGTCCTTCTGCCTGCTCTGCTCCCTGCTCTGGCTCTGGTGAGTTCTCTCACCCTCCCGCGCTTCTGACTGTACCCAGTGCTTGTATAAATAAATAAATCTTTAAAAAAAAAAAAAAGAATGAATTTTAAAAAAAAAAATGTGGCTGTAAATGTAATTTTTCCACATGGTTAATTTGATTCTTTTTTTTTTCTTTTTTTTTTTTTTTTGTTCTTTTATAGAGGCATGTTTTATTTATTTATTTGTTTGTTTGTTCGTTTGTTTCGTTTATACATGCACTGGGTACAGTCAGAAGCGCGGGAGGGTGAGAGAATTCACCAGAGCCAGAGCGGGGAGCAGAGCAGGCAGAAGGACTGAAGTACACTGCTGAGGGGAGCAGCGGGCGGCAGGAGAGGTCTGCGCGCCATGTGGGACCCTCCTCTGGTGGCCGGGGAGCAGCCGGGGATCGAACCAGCGCTGCAGAAGCTGCGGGCAGCTTCGCAACCCAGCACTCAACCGCTGCACCACCGGGGAGGCCCGGTTAATTTGATTCTTTATTGTAGTTACAGAAGAAGGAATCAGACTTTTTTTTTCATTGTAGCCACTTGCAAATCATGTGCCACCAATATTTATAAAGGGCTATTACTATTTGTAAACTTGAAGTTTTACTAATATTTTATTGTTTGAAAACGTTTCCTCTGGGTAAAGATAAGTATTTTGATGGGTAAGTCATTGCATGTAGGACTCAAAAGATGGTTATTAGTATCAGTTCTTCCCCCTTTTACTAAATAGTGTCATTTCTTTGGAGCTATTTCTCTGGGTATTAGTTTCTTTGTTTGTAAAGATGGACAAGATCATATCAAAATTCTCCTTTCAACAAGGGTTTAATATATAGTTTATAGCCATATTTCACATCATCACAGATCAAATAAAAAGTCACTAGTGTCTCAGAAATAAAATGAAGGAAGAGCAAAGTTGCTGACTTCAATAAACAAAACTTGAGTTTCTGTGCCTTGTTGCTTCAGAATTTTAGCATGTGAACCACTGATGTTTTGCCTTATTTAGCAATAAAAAGAGAGCTCTTTGTACTTTTTCTTTTGATGTTTTTCTTTTCTCCACTAGATACAGCAACAGCCAGAACCCACAGTTCACGTGGATGCATTCCTTTATGATGAAGACTTTATTGATTCATTATGTGAGGAAGGAAAAATGAGCAGAAACTACTGCATGGTGTGTGGCTCCCACCAGACGGCACCTTTAGGTAGGTGTTCAAGGCTGCAGAGCTGATGACTCTGTGTGTACTTTTCCTTACTTTTCATGAGTATGCAAATTCTTGACCAAGTCATTTAATGTTTTTTGAAAGCAAAAGGCCAATCTTATGCATAGCTGTTATCAAATAATATAATTAGGGAGACTAAATAGAAATATTTCTAGGAAAAGTAGGCCACTTGATGTCTCTAGGGCACATCTCTGCTTCTCACAGAAACCATTTCATCAGAGGTGACTTTTCAGGTCCAGAAACTAATCAGAAATGACTGAGTTCTGGGAAACTGACTCATATTTTCCCATCCTCAAAAGAGATTGATATATAAACCACAATGCCTGTGGTGTATTAACAATGAGAACTGTAACTGTTCAGGATGCTGAAACTTCTCCCTATAAAAACTTCTACTTGAGAAGTTAAATAGTAATATCTATTATTGGATGAGCATGAACTCAGAGAATAGAGATGGATCATCTTGAGAAAGAGCATTTTCATGCCATGATTCTACCCACTGCAGCATCTCTAGTACATAACAGAAAACAATTCTTGTGACAGAAAGTCTCCTGTATCTCTGCCCCTCAGATGTTGCACCTCTATCCCAAGTGGGAGATTGGACTCCCATACAGCTAATACATTAACTCTTCTGCTAACATATACTTTGTTCAAACTGGATATGACTGTCTAGACTATTGCTTTAGACATGTTATTTCAGTCTCCCTGCTCACTTAGATTTATAGTTAATGCTTCGGGTGGGCTACCCCTCCATTTAAGTAATCTTGTGTTCATATTACTCATCTTAGGTGACATCAGTCTTAAGAATTAGATACTACCAAATTGTAACATGTTGCTAACACAAATATATTGTACCTATATTATAATTTAGGGTTAAATGTCTCTGATTTGCTGGTTTAAGATTTTATTTCTAGGTAATACTAAATGATTTCCATTTGAAATAGGTGAAATTCACAAAATAGACAAGGACTAAGACAAGAATAATAGAAAACTAAAAAGTGCATTATAATGCCATATCAGATCTAATATAGAGAAATTTAAAGAAGAACTATATTTGCTAAATAAAAAATTGTGAAGATTAGGATGTGTTTTCCCATAAAAATCAGGTTGTAAATAGTGATTGGATATCCAGGCCAACCCAGATGATTAATATAATGAATCTGAACAAACCCTATGTGAGGTACTCCCTCCCTGTGGGACAGGCCTGTCTAGTACAAAATCCACGTGGGGAATCCAACCCAAGACACTAGTTTCACAAAGAGGCTCCAAAGTAGATGAGGACTGATAGTCATATCCCACCACTCAAGAATTACCTCTGAAGCCTAGTCACATCCTTTATTTTCTTCCAAAGGATTAACCAGCTTGCTTCCTTATAGTATGACTGAAGTTTTCCTCCTTCCTCACAAAATAGTTAAGTCTTTGGGTTAACTCCAAATCAGAAAAAAAAAAAAAAAAGGGAAAAAAAACATACTCTGCCTTTTCTAGATAGTTTATCACAGATACTATGTTAGGAATTTTAGCCATTAAACTAAGGGATATAAGAGCAATTTATGGAAGAACCTTAACCCCTTTCCTGGACGCCACAAGAAAGCAAATTCTAGGTTGGCCTTGACTGCCACATCGCACACCTCCAAAAGTGAGGATTCGTATCCTATGCTACAGTCTATGCAGCAATATGTGGCAGTTGTGAGGCTGGCTCTGGGGTAAGATGAGAAAGCCAGATGGTATGGGAGTTAGGTAGCAGTCCCAAGGAACAACTGGTCATAGGGAAGAGGAGAAGGGAAAAACTAAAGACATTGTCAGCAAGAGGAAATGAGAGGCCCAGAGGTAGGGATAGGCATCTGGGTGGCTGTTCCCTAAAGGTCTTTTAAATGTCAGAGACTTTGCATTTATTCTGTAATTCAGCTCATAATGAATGAATGTCAACTTATCACATTAATTTTTTTCTAAATAACCTTTGAATGACTTCATTAAGAAAAGAACACATGAAATATGCTTTATATAATATGAGTGAAAGAATTAGAAATACAGAATGGAATTATTAATACCTAGGCAAAATATGATGTTCACTCTGTTCTAATCCTCCAGGATTTATTTCTCATTCCTTCTCTCTCATGGAGTTGAAGTTCATTTATCACCATGTACTCCCTGATCTGTCGGGAAAGGTCTTGGTTGACGTTGGCTCCAGGCTTGGCACAGTCCTTTATGGGGTAAAGTCCAGCTTGCGGACATACTCAACATTTGGAAAATACTTTCTTCTCCTGCTAGCAACAGTTTTGCCTGCCACCATCCAAGGTGACAGCTTGGCTTTATTTATTAGAGTGAAAGAATACTAAGGGTAAAATAATATAGCATAGATAAGCATTTAAGTTTTATTTGATGGTAATAATTACATTTGAAATTTCAAAGACCAATGCTCTGATTTTCCTTACTAGTTTTTCTCTACAACACAAAAGAAGGGATAGCAATAGAACAGAAGCAAGTGACCCCTCATAATACTTTACTGTTTTGTCAGTCACTACTATCCTTCTAACTCCTTTTTCTTTGTACTATCCTAAAATAGTATATACTGAACTTGGATAAGAACTGTCATAACTGGCAAATTTTACTTCAACAAAGAAATTACTGTATGGACATAACCAATTCACCTAATACTTCTGGACCTCAGGTTCCTCACCTGTAAATGAGCAAATTCAATGATATCCAAGTACACATCTTGCTCCAGTATTCTGGATCAAAGTTGTTAAATGGTTTTATCAAAAAAACTAAAATGTCTCTGGTTGTCATTAGTAGACTTGTTAAAGACATGTGGCCAGCAGCAGTAGAGGCTCATGCCAGAAACAATTCCCAGCATCATTGCCTGCTCTAAACAGAAACAGTTAACTCTTTAATGCTTAGTTTATTTTTCAGTGTTAAGACTTTTATTCCACAATTAGGAAAAAATAACCATAATAGAAAATAAAGTCTGCCAAATGGTCTTTGGAGAATATTGGCAGATTGATTGTTTTCCATATTTTGTTTGCTCTTGTCAGTTTTCTGATTTATTAGAAATGTATAAAGCTGAAATATTTGTGGCTATGCAGTTATAGTGGCAGCATTAATAAATTTAAACATACTACCATTTTTCTCTATTTTATATCACTGATTTAGTCAATATATTTTTTGTGAATACCTACATATAATCTGTTAAACATATTTTTAAAATCCTTGATAAGTTATAATTACAAATTTGGTTTTCACACAGGTATTAGTTAATGTAAAATGAGCTGCAGACTCTGGTTTCCTTCCAGATTTTTGTCGTCGTTGTTGTTACTGCCACTAAAAATAGCTGCATAACATATATAATCAATTCTCGATTGTGCTTGATACCTAATTGGTTGGTTAACTTTGACAGATAACCAGATTGACTTCCCTAAGCCAAAAAGCATATACCTCTGGTCACCTTCCACTAGTGTCAGACTCTGTGTGATTTTCCATTATATTCCCCATAGCTTAACTACCTTCTTGCTGTCCTTTCATGTAACTTCCTAACAAATTACAGAAAGAGAATATTAAACAGAGAATCTACGTGATCACTTTTCTCATTTCCAACTTTGTTGACTGCACAGCTTTATCAGGAAGAATAAGAAATCGATTTTTAAAAACATAACTATTTGTAAATAAGGGAAATTAAAGTACAATCAAGATATTGATTCTTTAGTCTTTAAGGTTTTGATGTTAAAAGTTTTACATAAATTACAAGGTGACATATTTATCTTTCATCTTATTTTTACTTTATTGAATTCTATTTTTGCTTGACTTAAATTTTCAAATAAAAATAAAGCTACAGTTAAAGTTCATTCATTCATATCATAATATATCTTCATATTTTAGGGTTACCTTTACAGTTCAGCATTGCAACTATATGGAGTAGAATTGAATGGAGACTTTTGCCAGTTGCAGGAAATGGTCATAAAAAAATACCAATTCACTGACAGAATAAAGGTACCCCTTTAAATTTATATTCTGTTATCCATTGTATAGTACAACTTAGCCAAATCTGTTCTGCATTGGACTTGAAAATCTTCAAATCAATTCCTGGTTGCTATTTATAGAAACAGATTGAATTGATTTAATATTTTTAAACATTAATAAAGATTCACCAGAGACAGAGTGAGGAACAGAACAGGCAGACTGATGAAATACACTGCTGAGAGGAGCAGCGGTTGAGACAGGAGAGGTCTGCTCACCATGTGGGTTGCTCCGCAGCCAACGGGGAATCGAACCGATACTGCAGAGGCTGCAGACAGCTTCACAGTGCTGCACTCAACCGTCTGCACCACCAGGGAGGCCCTCTGCCCATTTTTTAATCAGATTGCTTTGTGCTTTTTTGCTGTTGAGATGTAGGCATTTATATTTTTGGTTATTAACCCTTCATTAGATACATGATTTAATATTTAGTCCTGTTCAATAAGTTGCTATTTTATTTTGTTGAAGGTTTTCTTTGCTAAGAAGTAATTTAATATAATGTGGTCCCACATTTTTGCTTTTGGTGTCAAACCCAAAAAATCGTTGCCAAGACTGATGTCAACAACTTATATCACCTTTATTTTTTTCTAGGAGTTTTAGTTCAGGGCTGATGTTCAAGTCTTTAATCCATTTTGTGCTAATTTTTTGTGAATGTTATCAGTAGGATTCTAGTTTCATTCTTTTGTATATGACTGGACAATTTTCTCAATACCATTTATTGAAGAGACCATCCTTTCCCCACTGTTTATTTTTGGTTCCTTGTTATTAGACAGTTGATCATATTTGTGTGGATTTATTTCTAGGCTCTATTTTGGTCCATTGATTTATGTATCTGTTTTTTAATGCCAGTGCCATACTATTTTGATTTTTATAGCTCTGTATTATAGATTGAAGTCAGGGTTTATGCCTCTAGCTTTGTTCTTCTTTCTTTAGATTGCTTTGACTATTCTCAGTCTTTAGTGGTTCCATACAAATTTTAGTATTGTTTGTTCTATTTTTTTGAAAAATGCCATTACAATGTTGGTAAAGATTGCATTAAATCTATGGATTTCTTGGAAAATATGGAAATGTCAACAATATCATTTCTGATCCATGAACACAGAATATCTTTCTATTTATTTGCATCTTTTTTTTCATATAGTTTTTAGTGATAGTTTTTAGTGATAAGCCTTTCATCTCATTGGTTAAATTTAGTCCTAAGTTTTTTTTTTTGTTTTTTTTGTTTTTTTTTAAAGATTTATTTATTTATTTGTTTGTTTATTTATTTATTTATACAAGCACTGGGTACAGTCAGAAGCGCGGGAGGGTGAGAGAATTCACCAGAGCCAGAGCGGGGAGCAGAGCAGGCAGAAGGACCGAAGTACACTGCTGAGGGGAGCAGCGGGCGGCAGGAGAGGTCTGCGCGCCATGTGGGACCCTCCTCCAGTGGCCGGGGAGCAGCCGGGGATTGAACTGGCGCTGCAGAGACTTCGCAACCCAGCGCTCAACCGCTGCGCCACCAGGGAGGCCCAGTCCTAAGTTTTTTTATGCTTTTGATGCAAGTGTAAATGGGATTGTTTTTTATTTTGTTTTTGTTTGATTTGTTTGTTTTTATTCTTGTTTGGTCTTTTTTAACAGGGTTTTCCTCAGAAGTCTAAGAATCCTTAATTATTTGCTTATGCTTAAGAGTGAGCAACAAAAAAACCGATTGGAGTTTTGATTAGAGGATTCTATGCACAGTGGGCTTCACTGTTGAATGACCTTGTTTCTGGCTTACAAACTTTTAGGTCTTTTATTTTCCTTCACATTCTCGCTGTGGGTATATGCTGCCTTTTTAAAACCCCTATGCTGTTAATATAATGGGGTTTCAGGAGAGTACAGGTGTATGTGCATGTGTCTTATCCACTTTGTTACATAGAAGGTCCATTGATTTAAATCCTTCTTTCCTTCAAGCTAAAGGTAATCTTTCCCTCATTCATATTTGCTTATTCCTTTGATGGCACTTATATAGAGTTCTCCACATATCAAACAATGTTTGATCCCATTACTAGATTATAACATATTTGTCATGGTATGTTTCCCTGCACAGTATATTGTACATAGGTAGTGCCAGTTAAAAACTGATTAAATAGATTTTGGTTTCTTCGTGGCTTCTGCATTGTCTGCATTCTAGTTTGTCCAGGGCCATCCCTTGGATTCCCTGAGACCTCTAAGGTACCTGTGTTGGTTGTCATAATTAATTGATCCACCTAATTCTTTTTACTCTATGGTGGGGGTCCAGGGAGTAGTGAACAGAAGTGGAAACTGTGTGAACGCTTTCTTGGTTATCAGTAGGTTAATTTGCATTCCTATTTCATATTTAAGCTACATGTTTGGAAAGTCCAAACTGATTAGACTCTTTTCTCTTTGTGTTCAGGAACATGTCAAAGCTGTTTCTCAGAGGTTCCAAGCCAACTTAAATTATTACTTTTAAAAAAGAAGAAAATATTTTAAAATTCAGACTTCAAACAATCTGAATATTATATGTGTATAGGAACAACTGCTTATTTAGAAAGTAATCTTATAACACAAGGTCAACTTTTTTTATTTTTTATTTTATTTTATTTTATTTTTAAGATTTATTTATTTATTTATACAAGCACTGGGTACAGTCAGAAGCGCGGGAGGGTGAGAGAACTCACCAGAGCCAGAGCGGGGAACAGAACAGGCAGACTGACGAAATACACTGCTGAGGGGAGCAGCGGGCATGGCAGGAGAGGTCTGTCGCGCCATGTGGGACCCTCGCCGGTGGCGAACCGCGCTGCAAAGGCTGCAGGCAGCTTCGCAGCCCAGCGCTCAACCACTGCGCCACCAGGAGTGGCCCCAACTTTTCTTTAAATAAAAGTTGTTTGATTTGCTTTTGAGCAAATATTTCCTCTTGTTATCTTTCATGTGGTCTGCAAGACTTGGGAATAGTAGCCTAAGTTATTGTTTTGAGTACAGTTTTTAAATAAATTATTTTTTCTTTGTTGGATAGATAATCAGTGAATTTTACATGAAGAGTTGGACAAGGCTAGTTAACTCTGCATAGTTTTGTAATTTATTAGTTACTTTTTAAATTTTTATGTGGTCCTGTTTGATCCTGTGAATCAGATATATTATTTATGAGAATACTGATTACCTAAGTGTTCTCATAGTTCATCATAGTTGATGATGAACCGGAATTTAAGCCTAGGTCCTTTGACTCATATAAGTAGTATGATAGTAGAAAAAGCTGAACTGATGGGCAAAAAATAAAGTGATGGCTATCTAAATAAATAGCCCAAAACAAGTCTTCTGAAACAAATCTTACCAAGTTTATGTTTTTAAATAGATATTAAGCATCTCCCATATTCTGTTTTTTCTCCCACTTTAAGATGTGCTGTCTTCTCACATAATCTCATAACATCATTAAACCAATAGATATTTCTTATGTGGTTATGTAATATACTCTTTGTCATCTTATGTGAACTCATTCTTCTTTAGGTGCTTCATGCAGACATCTGTACCCAGGGTTCTCTGCTGCAAAATGCTGATGTTATTATAATGAATAATGTCTTTGAATATTTTCTTGATGAGGCGGAACAGGCCAGGTATGTTATTTTTTCAAGCAATAAATCTTGTTAGAATATATCCAGCAAAGTGTGAAAAGGGATTGGTAAGGTAAAAATGTATTCATATTAAACTTTTTAAAAACTACTTCAACTATGAAATTACATTAATCAGGAAATGTGTTCTGTATAAAACAAATACAAAAATAAACTTTGTCTAACTTTTAAAAATATTGCATCTAATTTGGGGCAGATATAAAATGATATCATGACACAGCCATTTGCTTAGCAGTCAGGGATGCAGTAACAGTTCCCAGTAGCCTTTGTACTTATTCTTTTCTGCTCCAGTTTTCTTTTCTCTAAAAAAAAGTCATATGTTATCCTATCACAAAATGATAGAAAACTATCACAAAATGATAGAAAAGATGCCTGTGAATGAATATAAAACAAAGTATAAAAATATTAACCTGAAAACTATGTAATTTGAATAGCTAAATCTCTTTATTCTGCCCACCTTCATCTTCTATATTCTCTCTCTCTCTTTACAGACATTCACACACACACACACACACACACACACACACACACGCACAAAATTACCAGGGTAAGGTAATGAAATTAACAATTTAAGTAGTTTAAAGGAAATTGATTTAAGAGAAAGTAATCATATGTAGTCAGAACTTAACCAGAATAGCTGATGATTTTTGGTCACGAAGTAAATACATGAACAAAGTTGTTTTCATCATAGTAGCCTTTTTTTTTTTAATAGAGGCATGTTTATTTGTTTATTTATTTGTTTGTTTGTTCGTTTTGTGTATACATGCACTGGGTACAGTCAGAAAAGCGGGAGGGTGAGAGAATTCACCAGAGCCAGAGCGGGGAGCAGAGCAGACAAAAGGACCAAAGTACACTGCAGAGGGGAACAGCGGGCGGCAGGAGAGGTCTGCGCGCCATGTGGACCCTCCTCTGGTGGCCGGGGAGCAGCCGGGGATCGAACCGGCACTGCAAAGGCCGCAGGCAGCTTCGCAACCCAGCGCTCAACCGCTGCGCCACCTGGGAGGCCCCCATCATAGTAGCCTTTTAAGGTTAATTTTCTGTAGACAATATATGATTAGTTCTTTATCTTTTGTGTGTGTGTATGTGTAAAACAACTCAGGTGTAGACCACGGGTGCAGGGTGTGGGGTGAGAGGATTCACCAGAGACAGTGTAGGGAGCAGAACAGGCAGACAGATCGAAAGCACTGCTGGGGGGAGCAGCGGGCGAGACAGGAGAGGTCTGCTGCACTGTATGTGGGTTAGCTCCCCGACCAGGGATCAAACTCAGGCTGCAGCAGTGACTGCACTGAGTCTTAACCCCTAGGCCACCATAGAGGCCCAGCTCTTTATCTTTTTAAGTTATGACCAGTAGCCAAAACATTACATAATTGTTGAAGAGTGAAATATTACCAAGTTTATGTTGAATATGAAATTAAAAGATAAAACATTAAACTCTTCAGAGGTTCATAATAGAAAGATTTTGATTGCTAAACAATGTTGACAGCTACAGGTAAAGCTGATACTGGAAATACTGCTTGTTTAGTTATAAAAACTTTTTGGTAAATTCATTCTTGAACTCTACATGATTCACTGAATAGGTATTGCCCACATGTTTTAGCTTAGTCACTTTTCCTAAATTAGCCTAGGGCAATGAACTCTAAATATAGATAGGTTATAGTTTCTCATAGATATCTTCATCATGAATGACAATATACAGAAGAAAGTTTAGAAGATGTAGTAAAGCATTCTGATATTGGAATCTGACAAAACCAATCATTTGCTTATATTAATTTTATATTGTAGTAAGTGAAAAAAGATAGAAGACACAGCTCATAACTCCAGAGATGTGTAATCTTAATCAGAATCTGAGGACAAATAAAGTGATACTACTAAAGGAGTTATTATATAAATAAAACCTGAGATATTTAACCATAATAGAAAATGTGTACTCAGAAAAGATAGATCTCACTATGGGTTGACACCTTACATTCGCAGAGTTATTGTTAGTTGAAAAGGACCCTCTAGGGGCCTCTCCAGTGGCGCAGTGGTTGAGCACTGGGTTGCGAAGCTGCCCGCTGCCTCTGAAGCACCAGTTCAATCCCCGGCTGCTCCCTGGCCACTGGAGGAGGGTCCCACATGGCACGCAGACCTCTCCTGCTGCCTGCTGCTCCCCTCAGCAGTGTACTTAGGTCCTTCTGCCTGCTCTGCTCCCCGCTCTGGCTCTGGTGCAGTTTCTCACCCTCCCGCACTTCTGACTGTACCCAGTGCTTGTATAAACAAATAAATAAGTAAATAAATTTTTTTTTTTTTAAAAAAAAGGACCCTCTATGTTTTTTTAGTAGGTGGCTAAAACAGATATAATTACTGCAGTTTACAACATAAAGAACAAGTGCTATGCCAATGAACTCAGCTTTATTCTTATTAAATAAACTTGTATGTCATTTTTAAGAAACCACATCAAAACAACAAACAGCTTTAGCCCAAATATAGTGACACTTTTTTTTTTAAAGATTTATTTGTTTATTCATACAACAGCTGGGGTACAGGCCAGAGATGCGGGGGGTGAGAGGGATCACCAGAGACAGAGTGGGGAACAGAACAGGCAGAGTGACTAAAATACACTGCTGAGGGGAGCAGCGGGCGAGACAGGAGAGGTCTGCTGTGCCAAGTGTGTTGCTCCCTGGCCGGCCGGGGATCAAACTTGTGCTGCAGAGGCTGCAGATTGCTTCGTAGTGCATTGCTTAACCCCTTGTGCCACCAGGGAGGCCCTGTGACACTTTTTTTATATGTGTATTTTTTACATCATTTTTCATTTTTGTACAATGTATGCATTTTCATCTTGGTTATAGTCCCCGTAAAATTCTTACCACCCTTGTTTTGATCCCACTCCCTTCCCCCCCCCCCCCGCCCCGGTAGTGTGTCTCTGGTTTATAGTTGCCTGTTGATTTTGATTTTTACTTTATTATAATTAGTCTTTTTCCTGAGCCCTTATTTGGGTTTTCTAAATTCCTACTATGATTGAGACCATCCAGTATTTTTCTTTTTCTTTTTGGCACTATGGAAAGCTGTGTGGATGTTCCTCAATCTGCTAAAAAATGGAGCTTCCATATGATCCAGTAATTCCACTACTAGGAATCTACCCAAAGGACACAAAAACATTAATTCAAAAGGAAACCTGCACCCTTATGTTTATTGCAGCACTATTTACAATAGTAAGCTATGGAAACAACCTAAATGCCCAAAAAAAGATGAATGGTCAGGAAGATGTGATGTGGTACATATACACAATGGACTATTACTCAGCAATCAAAAAGATAAACTCATGCCATTTGCAGCAACATGGGTGGAGCTGGAAGGGATCATGCTCAGTGACACTTAAACTTTTTAACATGGATGCATGATTTTAAATCTAGCCTGAGAAAAAGAACATTTTCATCATTTCTCCTAATAAACAGCAAAATGTATACAACTTAAGTAGCCATTGCTATAACTTAAATCAGCGCATATGAGTTTACAGTCCACCAGCTGCACTGCAGGGGATGCACATTCCTGCTTTGCTTGACCGTTGTTCCCCAGTAGTGGGGCACTATTGAGACTCATGCACAGGGTAAAAATCCAGTGCATGTATGCACTGAAGGTTAATCAGAGATGGTTAGATAGACACTGCCCACTAACATACATACACACACATGGCATTCCATTGCATTTTAAACCTAGCTGAGTCCCTAAACTACAAGGTTTATATTATCCAGAAATCTTTCTGTTGAATATTTCTGACATTCAGATAAAGTATGATTTCACTCCTTATGTTATTTATAAAGATCTAATCTACATATTATATTCTTATTGTAGGTCTTTGCTTGGTTTCTGGCTTCCATGACCTATTTCCAGGCTCTTCCCCATCTCCATCCTTAGCAGTTTCTGCCTCTCCCCCCCACCCTTTCTCTTGAATCAGTTTTGACACACTTCGTAAAGAATTTAAGGAGCTTTAAATGCTGATCCAGCTTTCCTTGTGTTTTGACTCTAAAAACTGAGTTTTTACCTTACTCATGATAACCTTGTAGTAACCAAAATTCCCATCCTGTTAAATCTTTTCAATACTGTCACTTCATAATTTTGTCATTACCCGTACAGGGACCAATTTACCAATTTCTAGTATGTTCCTGCTGTTCTATTTCTAACAGGGAGACTTTTTGTTCAATTGGGTTTCTAGAACACCACCTATGCTGTATTTTCTTTTGTCATCCTCATTTTTAAAAAATTGTGGTGTACGATTTATCTCATATGTAGATTATACAGAAACAAAGCAAAGGAACAGTCAGAACCAAATCAAAACAAAATCTTAAAATCTGACTGCAGAACTTAGACTACCAGAAAGTGGCAGGGGCTGGTGGGGAGGCTCATGGAGTATGGGGGAGGATTATTGGGGCTTTGGGTGATGATTTTTGTAACATCCATTTGTAGAGGTGTGAACCTATGCCTCTAAAACATACACAGCGAGGTAAACTGTTACTTCAATAAACATACATTTTTTAAAAGGTGAAGGGTTCCCACTCTCCCTTTAATAGGATGACTTAATGTCTCAGTGAGAAGAATAAATGTTGTTAAAAGCATCATATAAGCAGTGCTCTCACAAACTGGGGATTACGATTTTTTTTTTTTTCTGAATGTGGTAGACCATAAAAAAGGCATCTCACGCATAAAAAATTCTGGTGTCTGGAAAAACCTAACATACAAGTTTTTAATGCATTTTAGAGCCTGGGAATATATCAGCCATAATGTACGAAAACAAGGGTCATTATTAGTGACAGTACCAAGCCTTGAAGATTCTCTTTCAGGTCTAAAGGTATGTAAACCTCTTTTCCAGCATTTTTGTTGTTAAAACTTTTCTTTTGCTTTTTTCTGGCAGCTAGTACAATATTCTAGAAATGTTTAATCTGAATGTGGTAACATTAATAAAATGAATAACTACACTTTGTGACTTAAGAATTGGTTTGTTCAGTCATCGTAAGAGCTCTGAAATTGTGATTCTTCTCTTGATATAGATAGGTTCCTTTAATTCATCCAATTTTTCCAACTCTGGGGTTATACTTCAGGTTAACAAATGCTATTAAATGTTTGTAAGAGGCCTAGAATATCCACATTGTATCCTTTCTCCTTAGAACAAAAGGAACAAACTTTAAGACTTCAAGTTAGTAGACTAGAAACCCAGGTACTGTGCCCAGTTTAGCTTCTAGATCAGTTTGGAATCTGCACAAACCATTTCCTTGTTCCTTAGATTCTAAATAGAAAATAAGGCTAATATTTAATAATCAGATTCTATCTAATAAACTGATCCTCACATAAAGTTTAATTGTATTGGTAAAGCTTTTTGATATCCCTAGATGAAAGATACTGTTGTATTTCTTAATACTAAGTATTATTATAATTTTCTGTAGTAGTCTTTTCTTATGTAGAAGCACTGTCAACTTTAAGTATCTATTTCTTCCTTTAAGCAATCATCAATAATACCTTTAAAAAATTTACGTCAGTCACACAAAAGTAAGTCACATTTGTCATAAGAGAAATAATCCAGAGATATATAAAGAAAAAGATGTTCGTCTCCTCAATTAATTGTTTCCTTGTGAAATTCTCACTCTATAAGTGATATGATTTTACCTTACTTTTCCATATTTTTAAAAGCTTACCTTTTTAAAGCAGCTTTATTGCTATTTCCTACATGTATAAGAAATCCATTTCAATTTGAAATGCATTTTAAACTTAGCACATAAATACCACAAGCCCCAGGAGCACAATACAAAATAGTCATGTAAGGAATATAAACGGTTATAACTATATATAACTATTTAAGTTTGAAACTACGTGGTAAGAAAAAAATCTCTTCAATTAGCTAAAGCTCACTTAAAAAAAATATCTTTTTAAATATGTGGTATCTAACTTATAATTTCTATATATATATTGAAATAATATTAGTCATTTTTACTTAGCAAAATAACAGTTTTCATACTAAATAAATAAATCTTTGTAGTTAACCTTTGGAATGAATATAATGAAAAAAGTCCTTACACATAAGCTCTTAAAGAACTTTATTGCATTCCTATTTAAGGAAACTTTAAAAAGATTTATACGTTGGTGGCTCCAGAATTTCTGTGGCATAGAGACTCAAGTTTGTTAAGAGGGGATGAGTCTGATGAAGATTTGGAAAGCTATCAGCCCCTCTCATGTAACCCCTTAGCACCATTTTTATGCACATATGAACTGTTCTTCTGTAGTATGTGTATTCCAGTTATTTAGTTGTTTTTATTGTTTACATAATTATAAAATGAGTTACATTAAAGACAATTATTTCCTATTTTCTTTATTCTTTCAAATCACTGAATCCACAGACCTTCCATTTAGTACAACAAAGAACTATTCATGTGGCACTATGTAGCACTTAGTCCTTCTCATTGCATTACAAATCTGTTTTGTTCAATAACTTAGTCATGATTTCTTGAAATTTCAGAAAATAAGATCACTGCAGTTTTCATATTTGTTTACAATCTTGTTTCCCTCACAGATTAATATACAGTTATCTCCATGGGTTGAAGAGTTACCTCTGAACTATGATGTATACTCAGAAAAGGATATTGACAGGGAAGCTCTCGAACAAATACATTTATATAAGATTCTCTAGCACGGAAAATAGCCGTATAATGTTTTGTTTGAGTATATTACAAAATAACAAAAAAGAGCTATAACCCAAATGCTCTATTCATATTTTTCTATGTATTCCTTTCTAATCTTTGTACATGTGCTTACATATTTCTAAGTAGTTGTATATGTATATATACAACTCTGTTTGCTTTGTGTGATAATTTAATTAAAATATTTATCTGAAAAAAATTGGGTTTCCTTTATTCTGTTTAAAATAGAAATATGTGTCTTAATTTAGTCACACACTATATATATATTAAGTCCAGATTGATTTTTTAAAAAGACCAGAAGTAGCATCTTCTGTGAAGAAGGGTGGAGGAGGCTTACATTGTATCCCATTGATTAGATCTTTATTCTCTAGGATTCCTTGTACACAACTATATGTGAATAGGTCAGCTCAAGGACTAAAATAAAAAATAATTGTACTTGCTAGGAAAAAAAAAACTAAAGGATAACCTCCAAAATATGAATGGAAATTATATCTAGGTGTAACAGTTACTGGTGGTTTTTCTTTTCCATGTTTTCCATCTTTTAATAAAGATTTTCTTTTGAAATCAGGAAAAACAAATCATTTTAAAGAATACAATGTAACATGAAAACTCAAGCACTTGACTGGTTCCAGTAATCTCATGTTTAGTGTAAACTTTTTTTTTTTTAATTTTTTTTTATAGAGGCATGTTTTTTTTTTATTTATTTATTATTTATTTGTTTGTTTGTTTTTGTTTATACATGCACTGGGTACAGTCAGAAGCACGGGAGGGTGAGAGAATTCACCAGAGCCAGAGCGGGGAGCAGAGCAGGCAGAAGGACCGAAGTACACTGCTGAGGGGAGCAGCGGGCGGCAGGAGAGGTCTGCGCGCCATGTGGGACCCTCCTCCGGTGGCCGGGGAGCAGCCGGGGATCGAACCGGCGCCGCAGAGGCCGCGGGCAGCTTCGCAACCCAGCGCTCAACCGCTGCGCCACCGGGGAGGCCCTCTCATGTTTAGTGTATTATACTTAAATTACTTTTTTTTTTTAAGATTTATTTATGCATGCATGCCAGAGCTGGGATACAGGTCAGAGGTGCGGAGGACCAGAGGATTCACCAGAGACAGAGCAGGGAACAAAACAGGCAGAAGGACTGAAATACACTGCTGAGGGGAACAGCGGGCAAGACAGGAGAGGTCTGCTGGGCCATGTGGCTTAGCTCCCTGGCCAGGGATCAAATTCGTGCTGCAATGTCTGCTGATAGTGTCATAGGGCTGAGATTTAACCCCTTGCGCCACCAGGGTGGCCCTTAAATTACTTTTTAAAATAAAACTAAACCACATTTTGAAGGATGGCAAAATCTTTTGGAGACGTATCTTTTGAATGTATTTTTTGTCATTTTGCTTATGAATGCTTATGAAGAATTTGTAGTGACAGTTCCTTTCTGCTGGAACCGCCATTTTCAGCAAAACTCCAAATACAAGGAAAACTGAAGAGGTACCCACTGACTACTCTAGGCCTTCTAAAAAACATGAAGCTATTCCTTTGACCACATACATGGGGAACTACAAGAATATTCACCATATTGTAGACATCAAGAGGATATACACTGTTAAAAAAAGAGTGCCCTGCTAATATTACCATGGCAAAGCTAGAATATTCCATAATGTTACTCACTATACAATTGGCATTATTATAAATAAATTGCAAAGGGCAAATTTCTTGCTAAAAGAATTAATATTTGGGCTTCCCTGGAGGCACAAGGGGTTAAGCACCACACTGTGAACCAATCTGCAGCCTCTGCAGCATGGGTTCTATCCCCAGCTAGCCAGGGAGCAACCCACATGGCGCAGCAGACCTCTCCTGACTCACCCGCTGCTCCCCTTAGCAGTGTACTCCTGTCAATCTGCCTGTTCTGTCCCCCACTGTCTCTGGTGAATCCTCTCACCCTCACTTCCCCCACATCTCTGGCCTGTGCCCCAGCTCTTAAATGCATAAATAAAAATTAAAAGAAAAAGAATATTCATATCAAGCATATTCAGCACTCTTAAGGAACCAAGATAGCTTTCTGAAACATGTGAAAGAAAATGATCAGATGAAAATGAGAAAGCTACTCGGATTCCTCTGAAGCACCAGCCTACTCCACTCAGAAAAGCATATTTTGTGAGAACATATGGAAAGGATCTGAACTTCTGGATCTGGTATAATATTAAATATCACAATAAATGCTATCATTTCACTAATTCCTTATTACGTATTCCTTGTTACATATTATGCATTCCTACTAAATTATTAAACATTCTTATCATTCTAGTCACCTGAAAAGAAGCTAGAGCAGAGTTAGCAAGTCAATATCACCTGGTAGCCTCTCTCATAACAATGGACATTTCCAGAAGGCTATGCCTATTTTCTGAGATTTTGGAAAGATATACAAGAGAAAATTAAATGTTTTTAAATCATCTGTAGCTGTTATTTGTGTGATAACTTTACCCATAAAAAAGCATATTTGTTGGTTTATTGTAGATTTAGGCATCTAAGTTTCAAACACAGTAAATAGTGCCAACTAGTATATAGAGCATTATATAAGACAAAAATAGTAGTCATCCATGAAAAAAAAAGTTCATTAGCACTATGGCACCTAATTACAAACATGTAACACTTAATGAATTTCATTGTATGCTGTACATATCCTTGAAAAATTATCCTAAATTCTGAATACTAGTTGCCTTACTGTTTATTGACCGCCGCTTACTGTTTATTGACCGCCACTTAGAAACGTAAACCTCTAAAGGAAAATCTGCTGCTACGGCTCTGGTTGAATGCCAAAATTCCCATTCTAGAATGCCCTGGACAGGACAGAAGGAGTGAGAACACTTGAGGGGAGAAGTCTATTTGTAAACCAAATTTCAAATCATTCAGCCCCTTACCTATAAAGTAAAAATATTTAGCTTTCATTAGTAGAATATAGCCCAGAGTACAATATAAGTGGTTTCCATAGATGTGTTTTTAAAGTTAGAGAAAAAAATAATTGTTTGCTGTTGTCACTGGTATGATTTTAGACATACTAAAATAAACTACAGCTCTTCACTTGGAGTAGAAAAAATGTCTAAAATATTTTGTGATAAACACATGTATATGCCTAACACATTTTTAAATAAACACCTGAGGCAAAATTGCAACTATAGGATTTTGAGAAATTGTACACCAGGATTAGTATTCTGTGTGTGGAATAATTTAACCTAATTTTAAAATACATATGTGCTTGTCTGGTGATAATCACTAGCCATAAAAAAGGCTACTTTCTTTCTTTAGGAGAAATTGGCCTCAACCTCACTCTCTACCCACCAGTGACCATGCAGTTTCTCAGAAGGCTAGAAGGGAAGGAGGGTAAATATTTTCATATTTCAGCACCAAATAAAAACTACAGGAAAAGAAAAACATTTTTCATATTAATGGTACTCAAGCAACTAAGAACATAAGATTACAGTAAATATCCAAATTATTTAGCTCTTTACCTAATAAAAAACATGACTGATTTGATGAAAGAGTTAAACTGATAGAAAACAAAACAAAATTGATTATTAGGTCTTTCGGACTTTATTCTACCAATGTTATGTTAAAATTAATTAACTTCATAGAGCTTCTCTTTGTCACCTCATCACCTCATCCAACCTCCAAACCCCTCTACTAATTCACATGCCCTTGAGTTCCCAACCAGCTCCCACATTGGGATACCAGAGCTTAAACATTTCAATATTTCATGGAAACTTTATCATCATTAGACATAAGTTATTTTCTGTTGATGGTGAATTTCAGAGCCATTCAATTATTGCAGTAATTACACAAACATCTATTACTCTTTTCTCTGGCAATCTAGCCCGCAACCAGCCTCTGCAAATACAAAAATGGAACACTTTGTTCCACCCTGAAGGGACTTACAACTTTAATGAGGGTAAAGGATACATTAGCTTAGATACAGGGTAAGGGAAGATGTTCCTGGTAGAGAGAACAGGATGTGCAGAAGCATAGGGGATAGTAAGTATTTTAGTATGATTGGAGTCCAGGGTAGGGTTACATGAGGCTGGTGAAGCAGCACATGCCAGATCAGGAAGGCATGATATGCCAACCAAAGGCGGACACATTTTGTTCTGAGGGTCAGAGTTGAGCCATGAAAAGATTTTAAGCAGCATACTGATATGGTCAGGATAAAATTCTGGAAACAGTCTAAGTTGATTAAAGGCAGAAGACAAGAGGCAAATCAGTGTGTAGTGGTCCAGTGAACCAATAGGAATAAACTAACGGGAGAGAGGGGGAAAGGAGTCAAGATTTAAGAGGATTGGGAAATTCAACGTGAATAGGTTCTTTTCATTACATTTTTTGAAGAAATAAAAAAATAAATGAGGCCTTACCACAAATTCATTATGTTAAAAGATAATAGCAAGAAACCCACTGATTGAATCTTAAAATATCAGCATAAAATAGGTAAGTATTAAGCATATAGTCAAAGAAGGAATGCTAGGAGGCAAAAATTAGGACAATAACCCATCACTCGGGGGAAAAAAAAAACCTGCCAAGCGTGAGATTCTCCCTCTTTCTCTCTCACACGTGTGCACACACACGCGCACACACGTACACACAAGACAAGGATATTAGCATTGAAGAAAAGAATGGAAGGGGCATATAGTTCCAAACATTTTTCATGTAAATAAGAATCTGGGGGCGGGGGGAGATAGGACTTTAGGATTTCACTGGGGACATGCTAGTACAGTAAAAGATAACTTCAAGAGGCACTCATTTCCTGGATACAACATTAATTAAACAGTACTTGGAACTTGGACTGCTGCTAACTTCCCTAGACTTGTCCAGATGCCTAAAGCAACTCAACCACCTTAGGCTAGAGTTTACCCACTTATAAAATAAGTTAATGTTTTCTGACCATGAGTTTCACAGGATTATTTTGTACATTAACTGAATGATAAACACTTTGAGGTACACAAATGGAAAAAAGGCATCAATAGAATCTAAATTGGAATTGTTTTTAGTTTTCTCCTCTAAAGAAAATTGTCCCAAGAAAGTTGACAGAATCATCATCATTGTATCAAGGATCCTCGTTTTCAAGAGCATTCAAATTCAAGTTGTTCTTTGTTAACAATAATGACCATCTGTTAAATTTTCTAAAACACCTT